CTGCAGTGTGGTTTCTACATGGCAGATACCTCGTACACTTGTTTCACTTCCAACTTCATTTGGACCCCCAGGTAGACTTCATCGTCTGACGATAGCATCAATAGATGGCTTCCAAGCGCACCCTTTTCCATGTAACATTCGAATCATGGTAGCAAGGGCTTCAATCAGTAGCGCGGTGAGGAACGGAGGAGAGTAGAGGCTGAAGTTTCCTTCCCTCCTTGTCAACCAAATTTTGGTCGACATGCGTCCATCTCCCGCCTGGAATGAGAAATTAAAGAAACTCTGTTCCTCTCGGTTCCCTCTGGCCTTCTCCAGCCTGCCCTCCCCTTTCGCGAAATCCTAACTTGGGTTAAATAAATTTTATTTGTGAAAAATACAATCGATGGCATTTTTTAAAGTTTAATTACAAATATTTTACATGCGAGGTGATTGACCAAAGATTTTTCCGAGGCCCCCCCCCCCGGAAAAAAAACACCAGTTCTGGGGTTTTCGACCCTTTCATCAGGTCACAAACCGTTATTGATATCGACTTCTCGTGTGTAGGACTTGATTCTGAACCGACGATACTTACTTCGGGACTCGCTAACGTTAGGCTTAGGCCTAACCTACAGACTGTCCTCAGGTCGAGCTTTGGCTAACATCTGCCGTTCAAACGAATCTCACCTTTCCACGTGCAGGCCACGTAGGTCTAAAGGGGTCAGGATTGGGCTTAGGATTAGGATTGGGATTTACGAGACATCTCGGTGAGATCGATCATGGACCTATTCTCACATCGGCGAAACCATTTCAGCCAGAACGCATAAAGTCCAGCCCTTCTCGAGTCCCCACCTCGACGAGGTCTGTTGACGGACTGCCTCCAGAATCCGCATGCGTGCTGGACCCCATCCGGTTCATCCAGTGATGACTGAAATCGAGATCTCCATGTCCCCGACCCCATCAATAGGCCGTATAAAGACCCATGCAGTGATTCCGAAACAGAAGCCATCGTGAATCTAATGCAACTCTAGCCCGACATCCGGCAACCCTGGGGAACGCGACTGGAGCCCGCGCGCTAAGCTTAAATGAGCTCTTTCACTTTTCAATGCGAATTTGTTCATCGTGAACAACGAAAGGAGCACCTATCGTGCTCTACAGGTCCAGTCTTTTTACTGGGTTATCTCATTCAAAATTCTCCAGGAATGGTTACCCAGTCGGGGGGAAATGAAAATTGGAATGATATTGACATCTTCATGAAGCAAGATTCAATATTCTCCGCAACTCCGAGAATATGGAGCTTCAAATTTGCTGGAGCGATTCTGTGTTGGTAGCGTTAGAAGCTTTCCCGATTTCGTCCTTCCAGATGCTCTCGGAGAGGAAAACGAAGAGGTCAACTCCAGACGGGAGAAGGGTTCAAGAAACGGAGCGACTCCATTTCTTCTCGGTCGATTTACACTCAAGGCATTGGGACGAATCGCATCGGCGACCAATGACCGAAATTCAGCAAATGTGACGTCCCGATGACGTCACGTGACGTCAGAGCATGACATCCTCGAGAGCTTGGAAGCCCGCCACGTGCTCGCGTGGAGATTCCGCCCCTTTCTGATGGGTTGGAGGCTTCCATCGGAAGGCGAATGGGTGAAGGCGGATTGCTGCAGCGAGGTGATGCTTCAGGCCGAGAGGAGGTCTATTCGCGAGTTAATTGCAAGGCCTAGTCTTTCGCTTTAGGAAGCGTTTTTATGCGTAGGTCCAAAGTTGAATCGGGACAGGCAGGAAAGCTTCCTGAACACGCCTTGGGATGCTAAATGTTTGGCCTATCGTTTCCTCGGCCTGGACAAACGGATGACTTTTCCCATTCATTGTCTTTTTATCTTAGAGTGCAGAGATTTTGTTGCCAAGCGATCGTCTTCGCTGGGATCTCGCGAGGCAACAGTTTCTCAATGTTCTCCGTGGGATTTTCGTTTCATGAAGTGGGGGTGACACACTCGGGTTTCGTAGTGGCAGTTCTCTCTGCGCACCGAAGGCGATTCATGAGGTGCCTAGCCTAATCATTTGACATCTTAAAGATCAGTTTTGCTTGGAGCATCGTCATTTTTGCATGGGATTCAGTGGTGTTTCCATCTTTGATCTGCAAGTTTGGTTCATTCAAAAGCATCAGCTGCTCATGAATTAGCATCAAGGGTACAAAGATTGAGGCTTAATTTCTGTGCCTTTTACCTCTTGACTATTAATAGTTTCAGTGACTGTGTCTCAAAGTTTACGACGTGGTTCATCAGTCAAGTAATCATGCTAATTTTTTGCTTTTTGCAAATGCTTTTTTTTTTCTGCAACAGAGCTATTTCTTTTACAGGTGGCATTGATATTCCTTAGTGACACATTGATGATCAGTAGAACCACCTCTACTTCTTCCTTTGAAGTCTGACTGCCATTGAAAGCATAAGCAGCCCTTGTGCCAGCAGCCTACCCTAAATTAAAGGACTCTTGACCTCGACATGTAGTATCCCAATTGGCGTTATTGCCTCTTGATACCACTAAACAACCTTGGACCTTGAAACTTGAATGAGAGAGACACAATTGTAACAAGAGAATGAGAAGAGGGAATTTTGTGCCAAAGCAGGCCTTCAAGTGTTACCTACTTATCCTATTTTGTTCCTTCCCCCCCGAAAGGCCTATTTTGTCTGATTTGCCTGCCTCCCTTTGTCATTTTGTATGCACAATTGAATGAAATACTCTTCTTGAAGGATGAAGATGCAGTCTCTGAATTAAATTGCTCCTAAATATTGCACATTACAATGTGTAAGATTGTTTTGTTCTATGCCAGATTTGCAGTTGTTCTCAAATGATCTCAGACAGATAATGTTTCCTTTAACCTACTTGAGGAGCTACAAGGTGCCACCTATTCACTATCTTGTGCATTTTTGCAGATTGCAGGTGCACTTAGGCTCTCGGGAGGTCATCGTGGCATCGAAGCCGACCGTGTGACGTCCGAGGCTTTTGCACGGGCCTCGGCCTTCCTTCCGGATCTACGGCCTTCCGGATCCATGGCCTTCCGGATCCATGGCCTTCCGGATCCATGGCCTTCCGGATCCACGACCGCACTGGCTCACGTGTTGATGAGGAAGGAGAAGGACATCCCATCCCTCTGATCCCTTATGGTAATTTAAGAGATGATATCTTCATGAGATATCTCATAAAATGCCTTCCATTGGATTCCATTGATGGTTCCTTCCTTCCATTGGCAGTACTAGTATAAATAGAGGTTAGATCCCATCTAAAGACAAATTTTTCTGAAATTTGAGATGTGCATAACCTCAAGTCCTGTTCATATTGATAATCTTCTCATTTGTGGATACTGTTTGTAATTCTAATTGTCCAAGGCCCTTTTAAGGAGCAGAAACAAATTTACAAAGAGCGTGAAATCAGGATGCCTTTGGGATGGACTGGCAAACCCTTCTTTTTGGAGAATTTCCATGGTCCTAACATTTCTTATGGGTATTCTGAGTTGAAAACACCCATGAATGTGCTGGTTAACCCCAAGCCTGACATTGAGAAGTGCTTGCTGTTGTTCATGATGAGGAACAGGGGAGTTATTAGATTATATGTGAGTTATACTCCTCTGCAATGGGATGGTGTAAGAGGAAGTGATTTGGGGATGGTAAAATATCAACCTTAATGCAGAGGAGATTCAAAAATGTTTAGGCCGGGCCAGGGCAATTGTTTTGTTTGGCGAGGATGTGTTTTTTTAATGCCATCGTGAACCAATCCAAGGCCAAATACTCAAGACACTGGCCTGTGGAGAGGCTTGGTCTGTAGCATTCCTAAATTCCCAGAACTCTGAATGTCAATCTTCTTCTCACTCATAACAGATCTAAAATCATCTCTCATCTGTAAACACTACCATGCTATGGCCTCACCCTCCTGCAATGAAATACTTGCTGCAAGAACAGGAAGCTAGCCTTGACAACTGCATTTGTGTTTTCTTGACATGCAAGTTTCATTCTGTCTTTTCTGTTGTTGAGATCAAGCTTAGGCCTACATCGAGACCCTGCGATGATGGAGTGCAGGAAGAGTATGCATGATTTTTGCCATGAAAGTTTTTCTTCAGCCGAGGTATTCCATTTCCAGCTTGGCATTTTGTTTTTTCTGTTGATAATTCTGCATTTCTTTGCTCTAGACTGTTGAATTGCACGCAGCCATCTTCTACTATGGCATGTGGGATTCATCTCGGAGAATCGACTTCCGTCCGGCTCTGTACCGGTCGTGCTGCATTTTCTAAGACAGGAGTGGATTAATGTCTGTTCCATTATGGGTCAGGGTGTTTTAAGAGTCCTGCTGGATGACAGCTATCAAAGGCCAGGGTACTCTTTTTCCATATTTATCATTGTGCTCCTGTGATGGGCTTTTTGCCCGAAACCGCTCGTGAGTCCCATTCCCTGCACTACAAGCCTCATCAGATGACCGAAACGTTGCGGTTATGTGCAGTTGGTAAAATGAGAATTTGTGAACATTTCGGTGTCTGAACCGAGTGGATCGATCTCTGTGCAGGTTTTGAGCAGTTATACTCGGAGAAAAGGAATTCTCGGAATCCAAGGAGCAGTCACCTGATGGAGCCGAAGGACTCCGCTCGTGACCCCAACTTCATCTGATGCTTCTCCATGCATGATCCTGCTCTACTTCCATCCCAGATACCTGTTAGTTGTTCAGTTCCTCTTCCCACCATGAATCCATAACTCTAATTTAACCTGCAAACTCTTGCAAGAAAGAGTATCAAAAGGCTTTCAGTGTCAAAGTAGATTGTGCCTATGGAATTCCCTTAATCTTTCCTTAACCCTTAATTACTCGCGCTGGTGTATTTCATACACCATTCGCATGAGATGTTCTTCTTGCAATGACTTTGTCTGCAAAGAACATTCAAAAACTGATGTGAAATGTGATACATGTGCACATCCTACAACGGACGAAAGTAACTAGAGCAGAACTGGCTGGGTTTGTATGTAATTTCATACCATATTACTGAATAAATACTGTCTATATACACTGGTGTATAAAGTACACTGTGTGAGTAGTTATGACATGAGACAGGGTGTGAGTAGTTGAGTGTTAATCAGTCACCCATTCATAAAATCTGAGCTATTTGATGAGACACTTTAGTTGCCTCCTGCATCTTTGCTGATGAAGGAAGCCTCTCTCAGGAAATTCTTAGATGTTGGGTGCTCTCTTTGATCTTCCCTGGAATATATATCAGAAGCAACAGAAGTGTGCAAGCCACAACTTAGTGTAATAGTCCCTAAATGAAAGAGTATCTTCATGTATGAAACAAATGCTGTACTGAAATGTAAAAAATGAAAAGGTCTAATATAGATTTTCCCATGCTTCCATGTGTATCCTTGCACATAGCATCATGCAGTGTCAGTCAAAGGCCATGTGTGCCTTTTCATTGTATATTACTCATGACTGATTGGATTTCAATGTAGCTAAGATCATTTACAAGTTGAGAAGTTTTTCTATATGACACTCATTTTATTTTAAGCAAGAGCATATCAAGGTTGTGAGCTTTAGATACACAACATGTTGCTTGACTAATGCTGAGTTATTGTAGTCTTTGCTGTTGTGGGCTGTGTCAACATTTAGAGTGATAGATAAATCAATCCAGCTTGCCATTTCAAAGTTTTCTTCAGAGCTATCAATTCATTGACCTCCAGAGTAAGGCAGGACTGTTATTTTCCCATTTTGTCATTTTCAAATTGATTCAGTCAACATATGGCTGAATGTTTCTTAGTCAAATCATTTTCAGGCTTCATATTTCATATATTCTTGTTCATATTTAAAATCATATTTTGGAATGCTTTTCCATCCCGTTTGTGTATCAGGCAGATTTTGTGCCCCATGCAGTTATGCTTTATGCAAGGAATTGAAATGGTAGATGGTCCATGATCCTGCTCACTTAAATGCCCTCATGCCCTGAAGATAATTTAGAGAGTGGTAATTTATTGTATACTAATTACATGCACTTGTGTATGTAATTAATGTATTGGTGTCATTATTGATCAATCAAGGCATCAATGGCTCTAAATCACCTTCATGGTGACCACACCTTCCCCAACCCTGATGATGAATGAGAGATGATGGAAACTAGAAGGAAGTTCATGTTTCCTTTGAGGAAGAAAGTAATGCAAGTCCACCCAATTAGGGGAAGTTGGCAGGCTGAGAGAAGATGGCTAGAACAAATAATTTCATGTGTGCAAGTAATGTGTCAGTGAACCAAGAAGCTGTACAGAGCTCTGAAAATGGTATGGAGGGAACAAATGCAGAGGGAAGGACACTGGAGCAAGATGATCCATGGAGGCACTTCGGAAAAGCTTTCACTTCCCTTCCCCCCCATACCTGCACCAGCTCCTACCCCACTTTCTGCATGGAACTGGGGAGCAGTGCAGAGCATACCCAGTGTGATGCATGAATCAACTCATGCCCTGTTCCAAAACGAACTGCTTCCTTTCCATTCTGTTACTCATCATATCTTATTTACATATATTTTTGGAGAAGCATCGATACACCATCGATGATGCAAGCTAATGCGCTCATGTTTACAAAACTACCATAGTAATTTTAAGTCAAACAAGAGATACAATTGCATGCATTAACAGTCAGTATGTTTGTGACATGTATAGTAGGAACACAAGGAAGGTTTCATTCAGAGGCCAATGCATCTCAAAGCAATTGCTTCTGACTTAGTATTCATTCTCCTTGGACAAAAGGAGAAGTCATTCTGTGACTGGAGAGAGATTGCAGCTGGACAGTCAGCCAAGGATTTTAGGTTGCTAGATTGATAGATGTTCCTAGTTTCACCATTTTTGGAGAGATTGTTTTTAAAGGACCTTGATGACTCTTTTTTTTTTGGCAAATGGTTCACAATGTTTTACACACATGTTATTGTAATATTTTTGTAATTTTTTATACTATTTCATACCAACATTTTTAATCTACATATTAGTGAGGTATCAAGGCACACTAGTGACTCCTTGATTGCTTCAGGCATCTCTGCATTTGCTTCTACTTCTCTGGATTGACAATTTCTTTTGAAGGTGGTGACAGTTTTCCAATCGGATCATCTAACAGCAGTCAATCTCAAGATCCTCTTTGCCCTCTCTAGATTGGAGTTCAGAATTGTATTCATCCTCTTGGTTTCTTCAAATTTGCCTTGTTTGCTTGCAGAATTTTCCTGTTTCCTTTCCTCCAATGCTCTGAGGGAAGGAGGAAGAGAGAGGGAATATGATTAATCACACATGGCTCCAGAGCACTTAAGTCATGTTAACAAGGCTATTGTTGGCAATGGGAATTGGCATTGCACTTGTCTTGCCTATGGAAAGGAGGAAGATCCTTAATCCATTTTATATGAACTATTTAGCATATATTGAACCATGCAAGTATTCCTCGATGATTGTCCTCTTGTGGGTCTGTTGGTGTAATAACTTGATGAATAGTGGATCTTCAATATGCAATGCTTTGACACAAACATGTTAATAGGCCTGTATCATAGGGCTGGGCCAATGACCCCTTTCAGCCAATCAGCCAATGGGTGATTGTGGTCTCCTTCCCATTGGCCAGTGCTGGTGCTGGTGCCGATTATGACATGTAGGTAATGACCTGAAGTCTATGCCATGAAATACTCATGTAAATTAGTGAGGTTTGTCAATCCATGTGAAAGAAATCATATATATGTAAAGTAATGGAAGATGAAGCTGAATGCCAGCATGTTTCATGAAAAGGAGACTTATCTCCCTCAGTCCACCAGGATATTTATAAATGATCATTTTATGAAACAAAGCATAGGCCCTCTCCATCAGGCATCTCAGAAGAAACTTGTGAAGGGTCTCATGTGGAAAGTCTGTCTCGGAAGACAAGAAGGGTCTCGGGTGTTCCTGGTTTGCTTTGAAGATGACGTTGATGAGGTCCCATGGATGTAAGGTCTGTGAATGAGCAGGTCCTTAATGGCTAAAAGTCTTGGATTGATCCAATCCAAATCCCATATCATGTGGCGACAAGTGGTTCGTGAATGGATAGCGTCGGCATTAGTTTACTTTACTCTTTCTATGGGAAGGTAGTCTTGAAAGTATTTTCTCCTCTCAAGATTGCTCTTCATTTCTTAAAAGTCTCTCTGATTCAAAAAGATCATAGGAAAGCCTCTGCATCTTTTATTGGAATACCCATATTCTACAGATACAGTTTGATGACCTCCACATCTTTCTTGCTGGAGTTAAGGAATGACCAGAAGTACTAATTGTAAGTACTAATTGTAACCAAAACTTGACTGCATGATGGTGAAACTGATGTATATATGGGGTAAATGGGTATAATCCAGTTTTCTATATTGCCAAACTGACAAAAAGGGGTGGTGGCATTGCAAAGTATATCAAATAAAATTTGGAGTTCTCTGTGGGTCAAAGTTGTACCGGACCTACTTCTTATGAAGCACTTTGGCAGGAGTTGATTTGCTTCAAATAATGTCTAATTATAGGTGGCATCAACAGTCCACATATTGAAAAGGAAGTGGTTGAGTTGCTTAGTAGAAATTTAAACCTGTATTATTCCTCCAGCTCAAAATGTGTAATGTTTGGTGGTTTCAACATGAAATTTCTGTTAACACATGAACTTGAAAACATTTTGTCATCATCAGTACATGTTTTCAGAAAGTCCTGGACACTGACACTAAATTCCAAAATGAGAAGGCCTAGGACAGATCTTCACTTTTTTAAATCTTAGGTGCTATATATATATATAGGTGCTTTATAGGCTATACTACATCAAGCATAATTCAGTTAACTGAAGACATACATCGCTATGAATCAGGGCATTCCACATAATTTAGTGCATTTAAATTCCTGAATCAACTATGATCAAAGGTAAATCACTATAAAAGTCACTGACCTACTGATTCTCACTTGATGATAGTAAATGAACCCCAGCAGACCTGGACAAGCCAGTGGCTTTTTGGCAAGCCCTTTAATCGAAGAAGCTCTATTCCCATATCCATTCATTTATTGTTATATTCTCTCTTCTCCAAAATTCACCCACTGTCTGCAGGTATTATCTGTTCTTAAGCCTGGTGTACATGATGATATTTCTATATTTATATTCAGGAATTACAGATTTAATTGCAGAAATATGACCATGTACACAGCATCTATCATCTGCAAAGTCCATAATTGCATATATAATTTCATTATAGATTCAATAGAAATTAACCAATCAGGAGCTGCCTTTTCATGGGCGTCGTCTGCTTCCTCCTCCTTCGATACGACAGGGTCCTAGAGTCGATGAGTTGGAACTACTGATCGAGAAGTTTTGGGCTCATCCTTTCGAGCAATCCTCCTTTGATGCAGATGATAAATTGATGAGCACACTTCAGGAACAATGTGGGAATTGGTGGTCGCAGGAATCCGATTTGAATACTCCAAACATTGAAAGCTTTCTCCAGTAGTGATAAATCTCTCAGTTGCTGCCAAGCACTCACTGTCGCCTATTGCACTCATCATGACTGTGTTCAATTCAGAGATCCATTGGGAAACCTTTCCTAGAAGTTCATCGAATAGGACACTGTCCATCCTGATGAAATTTCTGAACGACCGAGGATCGTCAGGCCGAAGCTCTCTTTCCAGTAAGGCAAATACTCCTCTTGAAGGCCTATGAAGGATCCTCTCTCTGGTCCAACATCCTTTTTTTTTTCTGATTTGTTTTCCCTTCTGTTTCACAATGATAGCCACAAGGGCCGCTGCTGCTTTCAAGAGTGTGGAATGGACCAGTGCCATCTTAACACAGAGTCTTAATTGGAGGATCGATGTGATAGTTTCAATCCGTGTGCACAGCCAGGTGAAATTCAAGAGATGTATTTATAGAATTCTCTGAAGATTCAATTACAGAAGTATCATCATGTACACCAGGCTTCATGCTCCTTGTCTAATTATTTTGCCTGTGTGCACATCATAATCATCAAATCATCCCACTACAAAGTTCAGAATGCATATTTTCCTGTAGGTTCTCCTTTAAGAAAATGTAAGCTGGTCTTGCACTCAAAATAAAATAGGCCCATTATGGAGCCATGTTCTACTTTTCTTTTTTTCAATATTGTTACTCTGCCTGTTTTAACAGCAAATATGCATTGACCCCAATCATCAATGAAGCATTGATGCATTAGGAGTGATGAAGTCATTTCACATCTTGATTGAGCTGAAGTGTTAGATCTGTCATTCCTTGCCTTGTTAAGGGTGCAGACCTGTTTCTGTCTTCTGCCTTCTCTCATTCATGATCAGGGTGCGAGAAGGAGAGAGGGGAATGTGGGGGAATGATCATCCCATTGTGACAGACCCACTCATTTCTTGCTGTTTAGAATCATTTACCTTTGCACATTCTCTCTTTTTTTTTTCTTTAGAATGTTCTTCTTTGGGCATCAGCATTGGCAGTTTTGTCAACCTGCTGATGGCTGATGGCACTGATGGTGCCATACCAGCAACCTATGCTGTTGGTTGCTGATGCCTTGGTATGGCCCTAATCATAATGTATAGTGATGTTTACAGTACAAACTGTCTTAGAATCATTGAAGTAACTTTATCTCACCTTGACCCTTTGAAAACCAATGCAGTAAGTTTTCATGAAGCCCTACAGTTGCTTAGACAATACTGCTGAAAGTGTGCACTTAGCATAGAGTTTTATATTAATGGAGGAGCAGTATCAAAGTGGGATCACTACAGCTGAGGTCGATTGGGGTGTGCCCCTCATAATGTCTCATCCATGGACCAAGAGAATCTCATCCAACTAACTGAAGCTCTGAAATCAAGATTTCTCAAAGATGTTCTGTGATGCTGGTGCATTGCCACCCCTTGATATCAATGTTCCAGTGAGAATGCTTAGATCTGCAAGCACAAGGCAATGTGACAATGAGAAGCTTCAGGATCCAGAGGCTCTCCTCTATGTCTTTCATCCCCTGTGAAGAATGATGTCTCAGAGAAGTTGCCCTTGCTAAAGGATGATACTCTGAGTGAGATTTTGCCTCCTTGATGCTAATCATTCCTTTGCCAACTCAACTGTTTGTTTTGTTTTTGTTTTGTTTATGCAAAGAGGGAAAGAGAGAGAGAGAAAACATGGGACATGGATTATGATCCCCTTACTGCCAGGAGCAACCAGATGCCTCCAAACACCTCTTCTGAAGACAGTGCTCCAGTGAGTTATTCTCTGGAAGCAAGCCTCGGGCTTGAAATGCTTTATCAATTTCATGCAGAAATCTCAATGCCTCAGATGAAGACAGGAGACAAATCCCATCCATTCTTCGTTATTCCCTTTACCCGATTTAAGAATGCATGACAGGAATATTCCTCCCTATTTGGAGTCTTTGCTAGACATGGGAGCAGACTCTTGCAGTCACTTTCAATATAGAATTAATTCATGTTTACAATATAGAATTAATTCATGTTTACAATATGGAATTAATTCATGTTTACAATATAGAATTAAATCGAAACCAATATATTCTAAAAGGTACAAGTCATCATCTACTACCCAAAGTGTGCATAAGGTTCATGTTTGAACTTGCATCTTCCTGGTTCAACATTTAAATCTCTGATGAATTGCTTGTTTTTACTCTAGTATAAACAAGAGTTTTGCTCTAGTTTTACTTTTGCTGACACAGGGCAATTAGTAGAACACAAGTTGTTATTTGCTGCATGGCAAAACCAATGTCATTCTCAGTTTGAATGATAATGTTGACTGGTGCGCTAGGTGTAAAATTTCCCATTAGAAGAAGGTAAGATGGGGCTGTGTGTACTATTAACTATTAACCTTCACCTTCAGTTATCCATAAGAGAATAGCATAAAAATGTTCCATATTTTATGTTCAGCAATGCCGCATCATGAAATTTAGTAACTTTTCTGTTATTTGGTTTAACAATTGTTTGTGATTTGTTTCTTCATATTTTAACCATTTATAAATGTATGCACTCATCGCTCTTCTGATGATCACAGAAGCTGTGTTTTGACACAGATTTAGTTGTCAGACCCTTGGGATTTTCATGAACTGAAGGATTTCCCCCTCATTCAGGAAGCACTCCTGATATTGCAAAATTTCCAAAGAAAATTGTAACTCATGAGAATGCAGATGGGCCTTCAGCAGTTATTTTCTCATCAGTTCCACACAACAATATGTGTCCAGTAGAATTGGATGACTATGGTGCAAATTCCACTGATGTCTCTCATCCTTGCAAAATCTTGCTTCTTTACTAAATTGAATGGAGTGTGTTAACATGGAGATCACAAAAAAGTAGAGGGAAATGCCTTAGCCGAGCATACTTCAGATGAACGGTTCCATGCACTTCCAGAGTGAAAGATGACTAATATGTGATTGGACATTTAAGAAAATAATTATCATATGAATAATACTTGGATGGATGGATTCATCCCTATGCATTTGAAAAATAGTGAGTTTGCAGGGCAATGTGTTTTTTGTGTCTACAGGCCATGAGTTTTGCTCAAAAATCACATTTTACATGGATAGCAAAGTATCCAAGATCTCTGAGAATACTGTAGAATATTGACTGATCACTTGGTTGTTGAGTGCTTTCTCACTTTCATTTTATTCGAAATTCCTCCATACCTGATGGAAACTGAGAATCCACCTTGAGAAAAACAGTATGGGACTAAGCACAGTCCCATTCCTGCAGCTTCAGTGGGTTTTGCTTTGAGGAAGACTGTTTCAAGGTGCATCCGCATCCATGCTGGAGGACAGCAGCTGACCTGTGAAGAAGGCAGGGAGACATCTGGGAATGGTCATGGCAACCTCTGCATGTGTCTTATGGAATGAATCTGTTCTGAACACTTTCATCCATTTTTAGGTTTTACAGCATGCCAGTTTTCAGCAAATCAATGGATTCATTGGTGGCTTATTTGAATGTTCTTGTCTGCAGTTGTTGACTAAAAGTCAAATGTGAACAGTTCTTGAAACTTGGCCATTACTTCTCCTGGTATCCGAGTCTCAGGCAAGGAGGGAACAGGCATGCAGGATTGCATGATATATATTGTCTTTGAACAATTTTCTTCATCTGGTATATGCAGAAAGGGATAAATCGGTTACATTTGTCATATAGGAGATGCAAAGAGATGTTGCTGTAGCAACCCGTTTATCAAGCTTTTTTTTTTACTTACATCACATCTAGCATATAATATGGCTCTTATTACATGGTTAGATCAGTTAGTCATGATTTATTGATCATGCTTTAGTGGGGCAAAACTTAATGGCTGTTCACTTTTATCCACCTGTCATTCCTCCCATTTTGTGGAAATGGCTTAGCCAATTTTTTTTTCTTCTCCTTTAATTAAAGCCAATGTTTCTAGCACAGATGATGGAGGTAGATGGTGAGTGCCCATGGAAGGGGGAAGCACGCGGGGATTCAAGCATTTGGGACTGGAAGTTACAGCATTTTTCTTCAGAAGGCTATCACTTGGTATTTCTGCACCCCTAACAGAGAAAAATTAAATGGCTGAATGCCCACGGAGGAGAATATCTCCAAGGTTGCATCTCAACCACTACAGTAACCCCTCTGTCAAATGTGACTTTCATTGTATGCACTTGTCACAGATGCAGATTCCATTTCTTTGTCAAGTCGAAGATGTACTTCAGCTGGATCAATCATCTGCTGTTATGCTAATGCTAGAATTTGTGAGTTCGTGTTAAAATATGTGAAGCCGTTATCATTGATGGTTTCAGTGTCATTGTCCATTGTGCATAATATTGGTTTTCTTAGTGAATTATGTCACTGTAATATATTGAAGCATCAAAAGCAACTTAAGGAAAGTCAAGTGCGTCACTGTGGTGGGTAGTCAGACTTTTGGGGAAAGCATGTTCAAAAATGGAAAGTCAAATGAGACAGATATACAAAGTATACCATACCTGTGTTAGGAGTAATGTCTTCTCATTGCATCTTCATAATCTGTGGCTTCGGGTGCTTTTACTTATGATGCTTCTCTTCCAATTAATCTTATGAGGTAATTACCGATATGTCAGGGTTAGTCATAGGAATATGCTACCACCTACCATTTGAGGCAGTAGGCTCGATTTCACACATATAAAAATGAAGCAGAGGTTTTGGAGCTCTCCTTAACTCTTTAAAATGGTATCCCTATTTTTTTAAATTAGTGTGTCTGGTATCATTGGCTCATATTGACCCCAGCAATGAAAATCTCAATAAAATGTTTTCTGAGATGGTAAGTAAATTCTCATAACAGTTTCATGGTTAACTTCATTGTAGTGAAGCAGCAGGTGGTAGTACATTCCTACAACCAACCCTGACATGTTAATAATCGCCAAATATTAGTTGCAATAGGAGCATCACCTGCAAAAGTACCAGAAGCTACACGTGAAAATGGAACAAGGAAGCATCCCCCTAACATGGGTATGAGTATACCTTGTGTACCTGATCCATTTGACTTGCCTTATGTCGAGCGTGACGTCTACCGCAGTGATGCATTTGACTTTCCGTTATCCATATTTGACTTAGAAAACCTATGAAGGAATTTTAGTTTTCAGACAACAGGAATTGTGAATGTACTTTGTGTCACAGTCAAATAGCATCCATATGTAATTTGAAATGAAGTTTTTTCAAGAATCATTTTTGCAGATGGTGACACTTTGCCATAAGATTGTGGATGAGTCTCTCGAGCCTCCCAAAAGCATGGCCAAAGCATGGAAGGAAGGGAGGATAAAAGTGACAAGAACAGGGGCACTGTGGGACAGATGCTCCCTGTCTCTCCACATGAGCAGTGGCAGACAATAGGACCTGAAGCTAACCAGGTAAGCGTTTCAGTATGCAGTACAAGAAACAGAGATTTTGTACTTTTTTTTATAGGTCATATTAGGTCAAGTCAGGATAGATTTTTCCCATTATACAGTTAATGACACAGTTAAATGACAATTTTATAACCAACCATTCTTGGAACTACCCAGAGGCAACCAAGTTTGGAACTGTTGACATCTGCCAGGTTTATTTTTAAAATGTTCCAGGTCACATTATTTTATGCCTTTCATGACATAACACATATTTATGAATGTAACTCGTTGAAAATTCACAAAAGATGTGTCAGTGGTTGTGAAGACTATGTATAGAAATAATTTTGTACAATTAATTTGTCTGATTATTGTCTGTAGCATAATTTCACTTTATCAATTTCTTTGTGGATACTGTATTGAAAGTACTAACATAATTAATTTGGCCATCTAACATGCTGCTTTCCCTTCTCTGAGTAAAATACCAAAGCTCAATAAAATCCGTTTACTGTATCTGTATCTGACTAAATGTGTACAGTGATCATGTAATTTCTACCAGTTCTCTCATGACACAGAATTCTCAAATGTCTTTGGAATCCCCTGTCACTTCAACAGATGTGCCACAGAACTTCGAGCTTGGCATGGAGTCAGTTGCAAAATCTTCCAAATATGAAGGAGGTCTTGCTCCCACTATGTGCTGAGCCACTCTAAAGGATCCACCAGTGGGGGGATTGGAGGAGGAGCATCCAGTCATCAATGAAACATCTATGGGCATTGTCACACCCTGTCGGATCATGCCAGAGTTTCCATGATAGGGCTTGTAAGTCCTGTTTCTTCGTGATAGCGGTGTTTCTTGGGAGGGGATGGAAGGTTTGATTGTCTGCCTGTTAACTTGCTGATTCAACTCATACAGCTTGTTTGCCATGTCTCAGATGACCATTTAATACAGCTCAAATGAGACAAAAATTATGGTGAACATTTGGTAGGGAATGTTGCATTCCTGGTATCTGGTGCTGACCCTAATGCATCTGGGAACTGTGCCACCTCAATTTTTGATGTGATTGTACTGGAGTCTTCCTAATCCTACAACTATTGTGGAAGCAGAAAAACAGCAACAAAAAAATGATAAAAGCTAATTAAACCTCGCCTGCATAGTAGGAGTTGTGATAGCATTCTATTTGTCCTTTGCTGAAAAGGTAAGCACGGCTTTAACATCTTTGCATGTGCTCACTAACCTTTAAGCTCTGGGTATTTGTCAGGACAGGAATATGCCTAATTACGTTTTCTTCATGCCTTATGTGAAGTTCAGATTTCTATAGGCAAGAAAAGGTCAGATTCCATTGTGCATGTCATACTGTCTCTGAAAAATATCAAGGACATGCCAAAGCTAATGGAGCAACAAAGGGATGGGGACGAAAATGCGCCATGAAGGTCTAAGAGGGTCTAATGCAACATGCATTGCACATTCTTGGAACAAGCTGGCAAAACACTTCACCTTCGGAAATGTAGCAACTCTCAAAGTCAAGTTTTCTGCCAGTTTTGATTCAATCAGCTATAGTCCACGGCATAGACATGTATATATAGTGTGCTTATAAAGTTAGTTAGCCTATTCAAGCAACTGTATCATGAAAACTATACACAGTGGAGCAATTAATTTTGGTGCACATACAAATGAGACTATGGGGAATGGGGAACATGTTCCCATGAGCATACCACACCAGAGGGCACTAGTGTCACTGGTGCCCACCAGAAGGCACATAGTACATTCCCAGGGTATAAAATTGCCTGTACACCTGCCAGCATTCAGTCTATTGTGGAAAATTCCACTGGACACATTATCCTTATGAGTGAGAATTGCTCTCATGCAGCATTATTACAGTAACAAGAGTAATGCTGCGGAGGCATTAAGGTCGCATCGACAAGAGGTGAGCCTTCAATGAGGACGGTGCAGCAGTGAGGCAGTACAAAACCTGGTTAAAAAAATGTGAACAGACAGTTGCCACAGTGGTTGCATTTAGCCAATATATCAATAGTAATAATAGTCTCCTCAAGTTATTGTTCATGGGAATGTGTTCCCCTATGGTCTCATTTGTTTGTGTATTGCTCCATGGTGCACAGTTTCCACTATGCAGTTGTTTGAATAGGCCAACTAACTTCATAAGCACCTTGTACTATTTATAACTAGACTGGAGTGTTTAGGTAGATCTCAATCATATCTCCTGTCCATGCAACATACATTCACTCAGTATCTTTGAGACTGCATGCCTCTATCCAGAACTTCAAGTCCACCAAGCTTGACCTTCAACAGGAAAGTACTTTCTTTGATCTTGAAGTTTGAGGTTGGGGACCATTCTTTGGCAATTGAACTTGCTGGCCTAGAGCAGAATCTTCAAGACTGATTCTGAGGTGCCACTGGACTTATATTGTGCCTCTACTAGAATATCTCCAGATGCCATGGGTTGCAGAGTGGATAAGTAATAAGGACTCAAAAGACTGAAAAATATTTCTGAATGTCAAAACACCAAACCAAGAGAAAAGCCTACTCAAACTACAGTATTTCTATTAATTACATATTGTTAGGCTTGTCTCACACTTGGAGGTGCTCCTTTTTGGAGTCTGAAGCACTGATTTAGTACTAAAAGTAGTAATAAGGTACTAATAGGAGATACTTGATAAAATAAAAATTATAAGGTAGGTGAGGTACAATTGGACTCATTCCTGGGTCCATTATGTATTTTGGCAGTCTCATATTGAAGTGCTTAAAAAAAAATTCAAAAAAAACAGCAACAGGCATTGAAATTTTGGGGGGACGTTCAGAAATGACCTAGTACCAGTAAGGTTAAGTATAATTTAATATCCAACGAATGAAGGGTAAAATACTGGATGGATTTGATTGAATGAAGGTATCTTTGATATTTTTGTCGTTCTAGGAGGTTGACTTTTCTGAATCAGAAATGCTAAGGCACAGCTGGCCTTACTGTAAGGCATGCCTTATGGAGGTTTCATTTACTAACTACTGAAATGACTAACAAGTATGTATTGATACTAGCAAGACCATTCACTTTAAAAGAGTAAAAAGAGATTACTCGTTGCAATCCAACAAATGAGGCAACAAGTCTAAACTTGCATTAGTTATACCCCATACACATGAGTTTTCAATGTTCATTTTCAAGACTGTTGATCCAACCTTGCAATGTTCCCAACCCTGGACAACAGTGGGTGGGATGTTGAGCATCTTGTGACAAAGCCGCACAGCACAGCCTTTCTGCCTTTCACGATGTCTGCCAACTGGCCCTTCACCAGTCATGCTGGACTGAGAAACTCTTTTAGGATGTCTCTCATGAGCAGGTGGCTAACTTGCCCAAACAACTAGACTGGAGATCTCTTGAACTGGAGAAGTGGCCACTAATCCTGAAGGCCCTCACTGGTGCAAAGAGCTGCTCCATCGTGCTATACCCTCCATGAAAGGCATTGATTCTTCAAAACTGCACAAGTAGGTGGACACTGGACCACAAGGAAGCCCAGGCTAGACATCTTCATCACATGCAATCACTCCTGATAAATAAACTTTCCATGTAAGCAAAAGGCAACTACTTCTAAGTCCCTCAGACAAACTTTCTACACCATACTTTTTCTGAGTGAGAAGTCGAACTGATGTCAAATGTCTTTCTCTCTGAACCACAGATCTGTGGACTTCTGCATCACCTGAAAATAATTTTGCCCACAAAATGCACATATCTGAACTATGCACTCATGCTATCTATTTTTTAGGCTATTGACACTTGCAATGTAAACTTTGAACTCTGAAATGAAAAGTCCTGAAAGGGGCTGTACAACTTACTTAAGAATTACTAGAACTAGAATTATTAGAAGAAGAATTTCAGTTACTTTGATGAGTAATTTACCTGAAGAAGCAAGTAACATCTTTCATTGCAGCACACTGCAGCACACAGCTGATTCACACTGCAATTAAATTATCCTCAAATTATCATCAGTTTTGGTATCAGAAATCTCAAGATCTATACAGCCTAAAATGCAATTCACCTTTGGAATGCTTGGATGTTGAGTTTTTCTTAATTCATCCTATTCCTCTTTCTTTTTGAACAGCCAAATTTCTTCTCTTAAATTCTTGGGTTCAGCTTTCTCCAGTCACCTTGACACTGGTGAATGAAGTGTAAAGTGAAATAGAGCCCAGATTGTTCCCACAAAGGCAGCTTTCCCTTTTCCTTTATTTTCCATAATTTCTGCTCCAGAGTAAATATACTAATCCTTTGGTATTAATTATATTTTATATGAATTATTTAGAATTGAAATGGCAACGAAAAGTAACTCCCTCAATCAAAGCAGTTTAAAAATAAGTGGGTTTAAGCATAGATATTGATCGAAAGGAATACCAAAACGTTCAAGTTATACCTGCATGAGCAGGGGTACAATTTGTGGACCTAGAGGTATTTAAAGTAACTCTTGGACTACAAGTCCATCTGACAGAATTTGACCTGGACCCTTTGCCAAACAATAAGACGATGCCACGCATACAGAAGGACTTGGCCATGTTCTATGTAACGTTAGGGAAGAGTTAGGCTTATCCAGTGGCGTTGGGAAGGGTTTGGGCTTCCTGGTCAGTGACATTGACAGGCATATATCAACTTTCCTTGGGAATTCCAATTTTAGCTATGCCCCATCGAGGAAAGTCTGATGTCCGTCCACAGTCCCAAGGTGCCAGACCATGATTTCTTTGAAAAGGTAAATTCCTGGTAGTGGAGCTAGGCATAGGGTTGCGGTGTCTACCTGGCCTCAACCCCCCCCCCCTGCCGAATTCCTAATTTCCGAATTTCCGAAAGGGAAAAAATAAATGAACTGATGCCAGGGGCTTTGATGCACCACTGTACGGCTTAAAAAACGTTCTGAGATAGCCAATGACCTAAGGAGGATAAGAAACTTTGGAGAAAGTCAAGATTTGGTCCATCATTTCATGCTTCAAAGCAAGCTAAGGTCAGTCAAGTCGCCGAACACTATCAAGAATGACCATCGGACTGGAAACATAAAAATTACCCATCGCAATCATTACATCTTCTTCTAACTGCGCCAGAAAGCTTCCCGTTTTCTAATGGAATCCCGATTTTAGCCGTAATGCCCGATTTCTCAGTCGATGTTACCGCATTATGCGATAGAAGCATTCAATGTCGATTTCTCGCTGCCGTTCATGGCACTGATAGAAGTGATCACGGAATTCTCGGTTTCTGATGGAATGCAGGTTTTTTGCGAAATATCCGGTTTCTCAGTCGATGTTACCGCATTGTGCTATAGAAGCATGCAATGTGGATTCTTCGCTGCTGTTCATGCCAAAGGTTGAGATGATCACAGAGTTCTCAGTTTCCGATTGAATGCATGTTTTCCCAGAAATGTCCGATTTCTCAGACGATTTTGCAACATTGTACGAGAGAAGCATGCAACGTCGATTTCTAGGTACCGTTCATGGCACTAGTTGAGGTTATCTCCGGGTTCGCGGTTTCAGATTGAAAGCAGGTTTTTCCGGAAATTTCCGGTGTCTCAGACGATTTTGCGACATTGTAAGATAGAAGCATGCAATGTCGATTTCTCCTTGCTCGCACCAATCCAGATGACAACTTAGTTGGCGGAATCGAATGACATCCTAGTTTTCCCAAAAATGTCCGTCTCCGCAGTCGGCTCATGTCTATGTAAAAGTATGACATGTCGATTTTCTACTGCCGTTCCTCGCACAGATTCAGATGACAACTTAGTTGACAGAGTCGGATAGAATCTTGGTTTTCCCGGAAATTTCCGTAGCCTCGGTCGACTGTTCCGCATCTTGTGTACGTAGCATGAAATGTCGATTTTCTACTGCCGTTCCTCGCACGGATCCAGATAATGATTTAGTTGCTAGAATCGGATAGAATCCTGGTTTTTCCGGAAAATTCCGTAGTCTCGGTCGACTTTTCCTCAACTCTTTGGAAACGAATGAAATGTCGAATTTCTGCTGTCATTCCTCGCATGGATCCATATGACAATGTTTTTGCTGGAATCGGATAGAATCCTGGTTTTTCCGGAAATAGCCGTAACTTCCGTCGACTTTTCCGCAACTCTTTGGATTCCAAAGAAATGTCGATTTTCTACTGCCCTTCCTCGCACAGATCCAGATGATGATTTTGTTGCTGCAATCGGATAGAATCTTGGTTTTCCCAGGAATTTCCGTAGTCTCGGTCGACTTTTCCACAACACATTGGAAACGAATATAATGTCGATTTTCTGCTGTGTTTCCTCCCATGGATTCAGATGACAATTTTGTTGCTTGAATCAGATTGATTCCTGGTTTCCCGGAAATTTCCGTAGTCTCGGTCGACTTTTTCGCAACTATTTGGAAACGAATGAAACGTCGATTTTCTGCTGCCGTTCCTCGCACAGATCCGAATGACAACTTAGTTGACAGAATCGGATTGAATCTTGGTTTTTCCGGAAATTTCCGTAGCCTCGGTCGACTTTTTCGCAACTCTTTGGAAACGAATGAAACGTCGATTTTCTGCTGCCGTTCCTCGCACAGATCCGAATGACAACTTAGTTGCTGGAATCGGATAGAATCTTGGTTTTCCTAGAAATTTCCGTAGTCTCGGTTGACATTTCCTCAACTCTTTGGAAACGAATGAAATGTCGATTTTTTGCTGTCATTCCTCGCATGGGCCCAGATGTCAATTTTGTTGCTTGGATCGGATAGAATCCTGGTTTTTCCGGAAATAGCCGTAACTTCCGACGACTTTTCCGCAACTCTTTGGATTCGAATGATATGTCGATTTTCTACAGCCATTCCTCGCACAGATGCAGATGGCAATTTAGTTGAAGGAATCGCATAGAATCCTGGTTTTTCCGGAAATTTCCGTAGCCTCGATCGACTTTTCCGCATCTTGTGCCCAAAGGATAAAATGTCGATTTTCTGCTGTCATTCCTCGCATGGATCCATATGACAATGTTTTTGCTGGAATCGAATAGAATCCTGGTTTTTCCGGAAATAGCCGTAACTTCCGTCGACTTTTCCGCAACTCTTTGGATTCCAAAGAAATGTCGATTTTCTACTACCCTTCCTCGCACAGATCCAGATGATGATTTTCTTGCTGGAATCGGATAGAATCTTGGTTTTCCCGGAGATTTCCGTAGTCTCGGTCGACCTTTCCGCAACTCTTTGGAAACGAATGAAACGTGGATTTTCTGCTGCCGTTCCTCGCACAGATGCAGATGACAATTTAGTTGAAGGAATCGCATAAAATACTGGTTTTGCCGGAAATTTCCGTAGCCTCGGTCGACTATTCCGCAACTCTTTGGAAACGAATGGAACGTCGATTTTCTACTGCCGTTCCTCGCACAGATCCGAATGACAACTTAGTTGAAGGAATCGCATAGAATCTTGGTTTTTCCGGAAATTTCCGTAGCCTCGGTCGACTATTCCGCAACTCTTTGGAAACGATTGAAACGTCTTTTTTCTGCTGCCGTTCCTCGCAAAGATCCAGATGACAATGTTTTTGCTGGAATTGGATAGAATCCTGGTTTTTCCGGAAATAGCCGTAACTTCCGTCGCCATTTCCGCAACTCTTTGGATTCCAAAGAAATATCGATTTTCCACTACCCTTCCTCGCACAGATCCAGATGATGATTTTGTTGCTGGAATCGAATAGAATCTTGGTTTTCCCTGAAATTTCCGTAGTCTCGGTCGACTTTTCCGCAACTCTTTGGAAACGAATGAAATGTCGATTTTCTGCTGCCGTTCCTCTCATGGATTCAGAAGACACTTTAGTTGCAGGAATCGGACAGAATCCTGGTTTTTCCGGAAATTTACGTAGCCTCGTCCACTTTCCCGAAACTCTTTGGAAACGAATGAAACGTCGATTTTCTGCTGCCGTTCCTCGCACAGATCCGAATGACAGCTTAGTTGAAGGAATCGCATAATATCCAGGTTTTTCCGGAAATTTCCGTAGTCTCGGTCGACTTTTCCGCAACCCTTTGGAAACGAATGAAATGTCGATTTTCTACTGCCGTTCCTCGCACTGTTCCGAATGACAAATTAGTTGACAGAATCGGATTGAATCTTTGTTTTTCCGGAAATTTCCGTAGCCTCGGTCGACTTTTCCGCAACTCTTTGGATTCGAATGAAATGTCGATTTTCTACTACCCTTCCTCGCACAGATGCAGATGATGATTTTGTTGCTGGAATCGCATAGAATCCTGGTTTTGCCGGAAATTTCCGTAGTCTCGGTCGACTTTTCCGCAACTCTTTGGATTCGAATGAAATGTCGATTTTCTACAGCCGTTCCTCTCATGGATTCAGAAGACACTTTAGTTGCAGGAATCGGACAGAATCCTGGTTTTTCCGGAAATTTCCGTAGTCTCGTCGACTTTTCCGCAACTCTTTGGAAACGAATGAAATGTCGATTTTCTACTGTCATTCCGCGCATGGATCCAGATAACAATGTTGTTGCTGGAAACGGATAGAATCCTGGTTTTGCCGAAAATTTCCGTAGCCTCGGTCGACTTTTCCGCAACTCTTTGGAAACGAATGAAATATCGATTTTCTGCTGTCATTCCTCGCATGGATCCAAATGTCAATTTTGTTGCTTGAATCGGATAGAATCCTGGTTTTTCCGGAAATAGCCGTAACTTCCGTCGACTTTTCCACAACTCTTTGGATTCGAATGAAATGTCGTTTTTCTGATGCCGTTCCTCGCATGGATCCAGATGACAATGTTGTTGCTGGAATCGGATGGAATCCTGGTTTTGCCGGAAATTTCCGTAGCCTCGGTCGACTTTTCCGCAACTCTTTGGATTCGAATGAAATGTCGATTTTCTGCTGTCATTCCTCGCATGGATCCAGATGGCAATTTCGTTGATGGAATGGCATAGAATCCTTTTTTTTCCGGAAATTTCCATAGTCTCGGTCGATTTTTCCGCAACTCTTTGGAAACGAATGCAACTTGGATTTTCTAATGCCGTTCCTCGCACAGATCCGAATGACGACTTAGTTGACAGAGTCGGATTGAATCTTGGTTTTTCCGGAAATTTCCGTAGTCTCGGTCGACTTTTCCGCAACCCTTTGGAAACGAATGAAATGTCGATTTTCTAATGTCATTCCGCGCATGGATCCAGATAACAATGTTGTTGCTGGAATCGGATTGAATCTTGGTTTTTCTCGGAAATTTAAGTTGCCTCGGTCGACTTTTCCGCAACTCTTTGGAAACGAATGAAACGTCGATTTTCTGCTGCCGTTCCTCGCACAGATCCGAATGACAGCTTAGTTGAAGGAATCGCATAAAATCCAGGTTTTTCCGGAAATTTCCGTAGTCTCGGTCGACTTTTCCGCAACTCTTTGGAAACGAATGGAACGTCGATTTTCTACTGCCGTTCCTCGCACTGATCCGAATGACAACTTAGTTGACAGAATCGGATAGAATCCTGGTTTTTCCGGAAATAGCCGTAACTTCCGTCGACTTTTCCACAACTCTTTGGATTCGAATGAAATGTCGATTTTCTGCTGTCATTCCTCGCATGGATCCAGATGACAATGTTGTTGCTGGAATCGGATAGAATCCTTTTTTTTCCGGAAATTTCCATAGTCTCGGTCGACTTTTCCGCAACTCTTTGGAAACGAATGAAACGTGGATTTTCTAATGCCGTTCCTCGCACAGATCCGAATGACAACTTAGTTGAAGGAATCGCATAGAATCTTGGTTTTTCCGGAAATTTCCGTAGCCTCGGTC